ACAAGAAAAGGGCAGCTCAAGAACMSAACGATGCTGAGGAGCCCCAGCTCCCTTTTGTTCCATTCCAGAGGATCGCTCGAAAACTCCACCAGGGAAATTGTGTTTGTGCTTCAATGCAGCGAGCAGAAGCATCTCATTTCCCTGCTCTGCCATTCAGGCTAAATCCGTCTCTCCCTGACTGTGGTCCATTTGGAATTCATCCACTGAACTTATTCTGGATTTCCGCAGCRGCATCTGGGAGCGGAGCATGGAGCCTTATTGATTTATTTATCGAGGCTGTGTGGGCTGGAGATTTGTTCTTGCAGGGGGAACGTCCTGCCCGCGGATTCTGCTCGGCTGGGGAGGCCAGGAATGATGAACAGCGATAGAGCTGTCCCCTCCTGGGCAATGCCATCCTCCCTGCCAGCTTCCAGAGCCCTTCCCATCCTCCCGTGGCCCTGCCACCTTCCAGAGCCCTTCCCATCCTCCCTGCCACCTTCCAGAGCCTTTCCCATCCTCTCTGCCAGCTTCCAGAGCCCTTCCCATCTTCCCTCCAGCTTCCAGAGCCCTTCCCATCTTCCCTCCAGCTTCCAGACCCCTTCCCATCCTCTCTGCCAGCTTCCAGAGCCCTTCCCAGGTCTGTCCTGGCTGGGCTGCCTTTGACGTCGGYGCTGCTCYRYGGYGAGGGAGACACGGAGGGATGGAAATAGTGCAGCTATTATGGGCTGTGCTCGGATCGCTGCTTCCACTGAAATGCCTTTGTTGGGAGAACAAGAGCTCAGCTTTGGCTTTGAGCAGCTCTCGTCCCTCTGGCTGCAGGAGATCCCRGTGCCAGCAGTGACAGAGTCCAAGGCTCAAGGCAGGGGCACTGTTTGGCTCCTGGGGATGCTCCCGGATTCTCTCCAAACACAGCCCCGTGGCTCAAGCTGAGGGTTTCACTGATGGCAGTGAGATACAAGGGCCCAGTTCCATCTTTCTGCCTCAATTACTTTWGGGGTGAAGACCAGCCCAAACAAGAAGTCTCATCAGCCTGCTGTGGTCAGCAGACACTCTCAGTCTGAGTCTCTGAGTTCCAGCTTCACCCCTTTTGGGGCAAGCGGTTCCCTCTCTATTCTCCTCCCCTCACTTAGGGAAACAGCCATAAATGAACCTTCTAAATGCCATCTCTGAATGCCATTTTCTCTGCCTTTGTGCAAGCTGGGATCTTTTCAGGCCACCCTTCAGGAGCTGGCACAYGAGGTTTCCCTTACGAGCACATTCAGGTGCTTGGTGCCACAGAGCTTTGGCTCATCCAGGAGAACACCCCTGCTGGACATTGCTGTGACCATGAGAGTGACCCCAGTGTGTCCTCCACACCCCATCCCTGCCCTCCTGCCTTCCCACATCACACACACTGAGTTCCCACAGAACCTGGGCTGATCCTAGCTCTGGGTTGGGCACCCACTCTCCAYTTCTGAGAAGTCCCTTTGCCACCCATGGCTGTTTTCAAACAGGTGACCTGMTAATGCTTCCATTTGAGTGTTCAAAGGGAGAAAAAAAARRAAAAAACCCAGAGCTCTTCAGCAAGGATGGTTTGCTTCTCTCTGCCTCTGGGTTTTCCTTCAGGAAGACAGGTTGGRAACCCTCCTGCCCTTTAGTTTAGCGTTTGCCTCAGCAGCACCTCGTTTTACAGCACTTTGAATTGAGATGTTGGAATAAAAACCCCCTTCCCTGCCAGTCCAAGCACATTTCCGTTAAATATCTCCTCCTGCTCTGCAGACTGTAGGAAAACGAGAGCTGTGTGTATCGTAATCTCTCCCCCTCACCACACTGAATGCGGGTTCTGGCTTCAGCTCTTCCCACTGTTTTTTTGGCAGCAGCTCCCCGAACACATCTGCACCCCCAAAGGGAGCTGGTGCAGGGTATCTCCAGCTGGGACACCCACCCCAGTGGGAATTGCTGCTCACAATTCCTGCATCCCTGTTTGCCTGGGGAGCTGTGCTCAGGAGGGTCTGGGCACCCCCAGCCAACCCTGCAGCTCAGGTCACCCCTCTGAAGCACAGGAGATGGCTTGTGGGCTTCTCAGTCAGGGCAACCTGCTTCACGGACTTGGATCTCAAACTCTGCCCAAATTCCCAGCTTTTTGGGAAGMCCCTGTGGCAACAGAAACCTCTGGCCTCAGCCAGCCTGCCCCAAGCCTGAGCTGGGATTGCTGAGCAGCAGCTGAGATGGGAGAGGATGAGGCTGGGTTTGGTGTGGGGCACAGGGACACCCAGCCCTGTCCCAGCTCACAGATGGGTTTGGTGTGGGGCACAGGGACACACAGGGACACCCAGCCCTGTCCCAGCTCACAGATGGGTTTGGTGTGGGGCACAGGGACAGCCAGCCCTGTCCCAGCTCACAGATGGGTTTGGTGTGGGGCACAGGGACAGCCAGCCCTGTCCCAGCTCACAGATGGGTTTGGTGTGGGGCACAGGGACACCCAGCCCTGTCCCAGCTCACAGATGGGTTTGGTGTGGGGCACAGGGACACCCAGCCCTGTCCCCATCACCCAGGGGCAGGACAGGGCTGTGCTGACAGACAGAACCCGGCTGAAAATGGGAAACAGGGATGGACACAGCTGGAGCTGGCTCTGTTCATGGTCCTGGTGCTCACCCAGGGAGCCTCAGGCACAGAACCACCCCTGCACAGCTCCCTCCTGGCCCGGGATTTGGGGGGATGAGCTCCTGTATCCCACGAGTGAGGGAAGCTCTGTGGGGGATCAGGGAGAAGCACAGGCCATGGGTGACAATAAAGCATCTCAAAACCATACCAAAAACCATCCCAAAAACAGGAAGTGCCCCCACAGGACCCCTGTTCCAACACCCATAGCCTTCCTCAACTACCCCCCTTTCCTCTCCCTCCTCAACTCCACATCCCTGTGCCCCCCAGTAGGATCAGAAGATATTTTCCTTTCTCCCTCCCCTCTTTCTGATGGTAACTCAATCTGAATTCATGAGAAAAACCACGAAGTTGAGCGCATTTCACACACAGCTGCCCATCTCTGGGCATCTCTGAGACCATTGGAGCGAGAGCAGGAGCTGCATCACGGGGTGCAGCGCCCCTGGGACCCCCTCCTGCCCTTCCCTGGGGATGGGGCTGCTCTGCTGATGTGCTTGGCCGGGCATGAGAAKGATCATGAGAGACAGAGGCTCTGCAGGCCCTGCCATGGTGGAGCCAGCTCACTCTTGCCTCGCTCTCCTCTGTTTTGAGGAGGGGTTCGCCTCCTCTCAGCCCTTCCAGAGCCATCCCCAGATGGAGGTGGACAYTTGCCTGCCATCCACCCTGGCAGCCTCTCCTGGAAGGGGATTCAGCATACAGAGCCTGAGTTTTTATTCAATTTGAGAGCTGCAGGTGCCTCCTGGAAAGGAGATGGGAACACATCCCTCCTCCAGCTCCTGCCATGGAGTTTGTCAGCAATTGCTGGAGCTCTCCCCTCAGGAGGGGCTGTCCAGGCCCATTTACCCTCCTGTGACCCCTGGCTCTCACTGGGCCAGCCCTCCCTGCCCTCTGCAAACCCCTCTGACACGATAACCCAGCTTTGTGCCAGCCCTGCTCCCTGCTGGCATCACCTGGGAGGGTTTGAGCTCTGCTCCCTCCATCAGAGAGAAAGGGGTGACAGCTCACCCTGCCAGCAGCCTGGGATGGGCACAGGGAGCACTGTGCTGCTCACACACCATCACAGCACATGGGAGTGATTCTGCCCAGCTGTCCATTGGTGCCCATCACTGCCCATCACTGACCATCAGTGCCCATCAATGTTGACCATCACTGCTGCCCTCACTGCCCATCAGTGCTGCCCATCAGTACCCATCAGTGCGCATCACTGCCCATCACTGCCCATCACTGCCCATCAGTGCTGCCCATCACTGCCCATCACTGCCCATCACTGCCCCTCAGTGCCCCTCAGTGCTGACCGCAGCTCTCCGTGAAACAGAGCTGACAGTGTTGATTTTGGGTGGGAACAGCAATATTTGCTCACCTGGCAGTCGATGCTGTTCTTTTTGTGGTGCCCCTGACCCCCGGCCCCACCTCAGAGCTGTTCCCCACCAGGKCTGAAGTGTGGCCCGAGGCAGAGCAGGGACATCCCAGCTGGAATTGCAGACTGACYCCACCAGCTGCAGTGACCATACTCAAAACTCCTCCCCAGACACTCTTTGTGCATGAAGGGATCTCCACTCTGATATTTTGTGTGTTGGAGGCCTGGGATTGCTGCCTTTCACTGTTCACTCAGGAAATCCAAGCAGGATTTCCCCCTCCCAGGCACAAGCA